CCCTCCCTCTTTTCTCATGAAAAGTGATTGAGCTTGCTTTAAATGCTGGAGGGTAATTTAAAGAAACTCGTTTTAACTCAAACCAGAAATCCTTTTCTCTGCCTGGAGCACAAGTATATAACATTCAACTAAAAGGATGTTTGAGAATCTTGGTAAATCATACTTAAATGATTTCATTAATGATTAAATAAAGACAAATTTGACGATCGTTTTGTAGTACCTTTACTGTAAGCCCGTAATGAATGCTGTTCTTGGTATAATTTGCTCAATAGAAGCTAGCTTTGAACCCCTGTGTATCAAAACTTCCACTTGATCTTCTTTCTTCAATTTACCCTCAATTTATCAGGAATTAACCTCTGAAAATGACAGCGATAGCGAGGTGGTTCAGCCGAAGGCTGTGATGGACCGCCTCGATATAAGCCTTGTGTTGGCTAAACTACCTAAGCTGAGTGAGCTGACTCTCTCATATACGATGAAGGACTGCGGGATGAACTTCGAGTGGATATTGTTTCAGTTCACCGGCAAAGACTGCCTCAATCTTTCGAGAGGCGTACGAGCGCACTCTAATCTTAGAGTGCTGGTGTTGACCCAGTAACTATTTATTTAATAAATCATGGAACATGAATCTAAATCAGTAGAACAGTAATATTTATAAACATTACAGGTAATGTCTATCATTATCGATTCATATATGAAAGTAAATAAGTCTCTCTAATATACCGATTGTATGAAAAGTTTGAATAGTTAGAAGTTGTTTGACCTTGTTTTCGCAACTTGGTCATACTGGTAGGAAGACTTAGAGAAACGTACCTTGTCCTGAGTCTTGGCAACGATGGGAGCTAGTGGACTGACAGTATTTTTTATGAAAGACTTGGTTCATGTGACAAAGGCGTCACCATGACACTTACGCAGAGGCTTGAGCCTCGAATTAGTCACCCAGACGCAGGGTAGGGCCAATAGCGCCTCGAGTGGCCGAGATGTGGTGGCAGTGGTCAAGTGAAATACGTGAACCAAGTAGAGGGCAGACGGATCTTACGGGGCAAGAGAGAGACTGGGGTAAGACCTAGGGAAGGGGGACTGCGTAACAATATGGGAGACTCTGAGCAACATTTCCAGCACAAGGATGAAGGTGAGTGAGAAGGCCAGCGTGGAGTGCGGAGGGTTCTCATGAAAGCCGCTAAAAAGGGCACACCGTACCACATTTAATTAGGCAAATAAAAAATTGTGACTGTGAAGGCGTGATAGGAGGAGATAGGAAATATAAATAGGCCAGGGCAGAAGGGGAGATACCATAACTGTTTATCACACGTTCGGTCAAAGGATCAAGACTAGGGCATAGCAAATCATAGACTTGCTATTAGGGATAGAAACAGTATAGACGCGGCGGAGATTAGAGCTAGTCGTCTTTAAGTAGGCCTGTTTTATCATAGACGTGGTCAATGAAGTAAAGGTTTGAACATGAGAATTACTCGGGGTCTTTTCCTCAAGTTTGTCTAGCAGACGCAGAGTGTGGGAAATAACGCCTCGTGGAGCACAGGTGGGGTTGAAGGGGTCGATTTAAATACGTGAAACAGGGATATGGCAGACGGATCCTACGGGGCAAAAGGGAGACTCTGATAAGACCTAGGGAAGGAGGACGGCGTAACAATATGGCAGACTCTGATCCACATTCCCAGCACAAGGGTGAAGTGGGCCAGCGTGAAGTGCAGAGTGTGGAGGGTTCTCATGACAGCCGCTCAAAATGGCACACACTACGTTTAAATAAGCAAGGAAAAATTTGTGATAGTGAAGACGTGATACGAGGATATAGGATAGGTGAATAGCCCAGGACAGAAGAAGAGTTTCCACAATTTTTTAGCACACATTTGGTCAAAGGATCGGCTTCACTTGTCTTTTTTGACGAGTTGTAGTATGGTGATAAGAAGTGCATGACTCACTGACGATGCAGTATACGAGGCCGGCGAAACGTCTGGGAATGTACCACGTCCTCGGACCGACTTCGGAAATTATTAAGTATACAATAATTTTATGAATTTCTTTTCTCATTTGCTTGAAGTAATGGCTTGAATGGTATCCTACTCTGATGACATCCGCCAAACGTAGCCTTAGAACTGGAAATGGGTTGACCTCGTTGTCACAACTTGGCCTTGCTGTCTGTGAGACTTAGTAGAACGCACCTAGTCCGAAGTCGTCTGCCATAGTAGTTGTCATGAGTCCTAGCATCAGACAGTGGACTTGGTACATTCTCAAACGTTTCGCCGGCATCGTAGTCGGCCTCATCAGTGAGTT